ATTGGAAGGACTGATCCTAAAGCTGAAGCTCCAATACTCTGGCCACCTGATGCAAAGACCTGACTCATTGGAAAAGACCCTGATGCTGGGAAAGATTGGGGGCAAGAGGAGAAGGGGTGACAGAGGATGAGATGGTTGGATGGCATCACCGACTCAATGGACATGGGTTTGGGCAAACTTCAGGAGACAGTGAAGGACAGGGAGGCCTGGTGTGCTGCAGTCCATGGGGTCACAGAGTCGGACAAAACTTAGTGATTGAACAACAATGAGAGCAGGGAGGAGAGGCTGAGTGTAGAGGATGTGGGATCGGATAAACCTTTTAAAGGTTAAGGGCAAAGGAAGTACACTGAAGGGTCTTTAAGTAGATGACTGGCATAATTCATGTGGGGTTGTAAAAAGCTCGAGTCCTGTACAGAAATTGAATGTAAAATTAATATATTCAGAGATCTCAGTGTCATCCATTTCTCACTGAGTGGATGCATGCTAAATACATTATGAAGTGATCTATAGCAGCAGTTCCCAACCTTTTTGGCACCAGGAATTGGTTTCGTGGAAGACATTTTTTCCAGATGGTGGGTGATTTCAGGATGATTCAAGCATTACGTTCATTGTGCACTTTAGGTCTGTTATTATTACATCAGCTCCACCACAGACCCCAGAGGTCAGGGACTCCCTGTTCTAGAGGAGAGAGAAAGTGGCCAGCAGCAGAGCCAAAACATTTCAGGTGTTTTGTCTCTAAATAGTTGAATAATTATTACAAATGCCCAGATAATTCAAACTTCAAACAACTATGCTAAATCCCCTTGTCGGAGCCCAACAGCCTGACGTCCCCGGTGGCCACAGAAGAGGATACGTAATACAGGCAGCAGCAGTGCTGACCTCAGCAGGTACGAACCGACACAGAGCAATATGGCTTAGAGACACGACAGAGTTAACACTGCATGTCACTCATCAGCCAGGCTCACCAAGGGACGCGCTGAGTCCGCTGATCATGCTCCTAAGAGAGGGATTCAACAACAGACGCGCTGGAGCGGTGGTCAGCAAACAGCAACTTCGGAAAAATAGGACCCTCTGGCCGATTTTAATCTGGATATATGCTCGTCATACATCATAAATACCATCAAGGAATGGGAATAACAAGGAACCTAATAAATTCACATGAGACTCCCCCACAACAACTAAACACAAGGTTATTAATAGAAAATAACAGAAAGGGGGGAAAAGGACCCAAACCCCCGGCGACTGCACAACCTCACAGTGATATTGTATTTAAACATGTTTCAGTGTGTGTCTCTGTGGGCACATGGGGATTCACAGAGGGCTCTCGGTAAAGCATCAACTTGTTTTGTGGTGCCGATTCCCTAAGAACCTGATGAGTTTCTTTGAGACAGACGTAGCCAGCCCAATCTAGCTCAGCTGTACTCAATCTGAGTTGCTCTCCTACATACAAACCCTCACTTCAAAGCCAGGAACATAATGTACAATTTTTTAATGGCTCTAGACCCAGGCACTCAGGCGCTCTGCTCTGCGCCTTACCTCAGTGTAAACACCTAATCAAGATTGCCCGAGCTTCAACAATAGCAGCCAAATGCAATTCGAGAACCACAGGCCTTTGAAGTCCTCCCAGCAAAGGCCGGTTTTCTAGTCCGGGATAATGACATGGCATGATTGCTGTCTTTGTTGTATCTTTTCAGTAGAGAAGCAATTATAGGTCCCAATTTAACAGAATAGACATTACACAGCTTATGATGCTCAAAATGCAATTTCATTTGATCATTTTCTCGATTTGATTGGTATTAATAGAATGGCTCACCAAGGGGGAAAAAAAAGAAATAGCTAGCAGAGGTTGTGTCCCACTCCACTTTCAAAGAGATAATGTAGAAGTATGCTTTATCCACCCAGAGACTCACTGGGGGGATTCACACACCGAGTTCTACCAAAACAGCCTGTGGATGGAAATGCTGTACATCTTACATTCTCTGGGGAAGGCAGTGTAGGACAATGCCTTTATATTTTTTCATCTATAAACTTTTTATCAGAGCTCCATTAAGGGACCCCAAGGTTGTTTACCAAATAGTATCACCAGTGAAAAACCAAATTAACAAAGTCCCCTTTATAAAAGCTAGGGCATCAAATCTCCTCGTGGCAGATCTAGGAATAAACCCAGCTTCTCCCAGGCTCCAGCTTGTCCAAGACATTGCATGTTTGAGATTTAAAACAGGCTTATTTCCTTGCCTGCTTAGGCAGCCTATTTAGATTTTTTTTTTTTCCCTCTGTCCCAACCATCATTTCTCCTCCAGGACAGAGTTGATCTCTCTTTCAAATGAGTTGTGTTTCTGTTTCACATCACGGCAGTAAGGGATTGAAGCCTTTGAGAAAACAATGGCAAAAGCTGCAAAATCTTAATACTTTTATTGCCATCCTGGGTCTCTGGAAATAGTGAGGGGCTGAGAGATGGAAACACGAGAAAGCGGCTCCTGACCTTGAGCTCTTATAGCATAACTCCAAACTTCCCATCTCAGCCCAAGTTCAACTGTTGCATGGTATCATGAAGTTTTCCACTTGCAGAGTAGGCAATCACTCAAAACCTATTGATTACTTCTATTTGTAATAAAAAAAAAAACCCAAAACTCCATGATCCAACAGTACAGTGTGTTCCTGTATTAGCAGTGAGAATTCAAACATGAAAAAGTTTTACTTTCATTATTTTCCCTTTTTACAGATCAGCCCTTTAAACATTGAAACTTTCACACTATTTGACTCAGGCAGTTGTGATCAGGAGGCATTCAGATAGAGGGCTGCACCCAAAACAAATGAACAAACAAAAAACAAATTGTCTTTCTTGTGCCAGAGAAGCTACCTTGAATAAGGAATGAGGTTATCATCACTGTCAAATGCTTTTTTGTTGTTCAGTCGCTCATGTCTGACTCTTTGCGACCCCATGGACTGCAGCACACCAGGATCCCCTGTCTTTCACCATCTCCCAGAGTTTGCTCAAACTCATGTCCATTGAGTCAATGATGCCTGCTTACTAGTTAATATTTAACAAGTATTTTTGCCTTTCTGCACTGAACACTAGTCTGCATGAGTAAGTATGAAGTAAAAGTCAGCCACATGGGGAGAATTTAAATGCAACTAGGCAGATCCTAAACCCCAATGCACTTTCTGAAAGAGGGATTGACTTATTCTGTTATTTCAAAGGGCAGAGGGACAGAAATTACAAACATATCTCTGCTCTTATAAGGAACAGCCTAGTAGAATTTGGGCTTCCCCGGTGGTTCAGACAGTAAAGAACCTGCCTGCAATTTGGGAGACCCAGGTTCAACCCCTGGATTGAGAAGATCCCCTGGAGAAGGAAATGACGTCCCACTCCAGTATTCTTGCCTGGGGAATTCCATGGACAGGCGAGCCTGGCGGGCTACAGTTCATGGGGTGGCAAAGGGCCAGACATGACTGAGTGACTCACACTTTCATTCATAGCAGTTATGTCTCTCGAAGATGGAAAAGAATGTCCATCATTAATGAAACAGGGATTCAGAGATATAACATTTTATTACTCCAGCAGGTGATTGGAAGGACTGGATCTCCCACAGCAAGGGACTATTCACAAGCCACCTTACTCTGCCTTCCTCTATCCATCTATATGAATACTGACAAGCAGATTCTCCCACCTGGAGAAGGGACATATGATTAGGCAGTGAGGGAAGGAAGGTCGACCAGGGATGCACGGAAACACCAGAGGGTGTGCTGGATTATCTTCAGAATCTCTGCCACCTTTAAGATTGCGGAACTTTAAGTTTGTTCTTTGAAATGCTACCCAGTGGCTAGAATTCCATATAGTGCAAAGACAACCTAATTTCTCAACTTAAAACAGGTAGCTAGGGGCTTTCCCTGGTGGCTCAGTGGTAAAGAATCTGCCTGCAATGCGAGAGCCACAGGAGACCTGGGTTTGATCCCTGGGTTGGGAAGATCCCCTGGAAGAGGGAATGGCAACCCACATCAGTGTTTTTTTTTTTTTTTCTTTTTATGGTTTTCCTTTTTATTTAATCAAAGACAGTGGATAAATATAAATACAGCACAATTATTTCAGATCATTCTTCATATTGTATACACACAGACCGATGAACATAATCTTAGAGACCTGCAGTCAGCAATGAAATGCGTACATCTTTTCCTACCCTCGCTCAAAAAAATTTAAAAACACACAAACTTAGAATTGCATCCCTGGTGGCTCAGATGGTAAAGCATCTGCCTGCAATGCAGGAGACCTGGGTTCAATCCTTGGTTCGGGAAGGTCTCCTGGAGAAGCAAATGGCAACCCACTCCAGTATTCCTGCCTTGAAAATTCCATGGTTGGAGGAGCCTGGTAGGCTACAGTCCATGGGATCTCAAAGAGTCAAACACAACTGAGCAACTTCACTAAAACTGCATCAACACACACTCTCCTGTGACAAATGATTCAGACATAAATAGAGGTGCAAAAAAACTATATGCTAACATATGTATAACCTTTGTCAGTGAAAATCAGAAGCGGCCATAATGATTAATATATATTCAGTTACTGATAACTAGCTGTGCCCTAAAGGGCATTATCAAGACAGAAATTATGCTGCAGAGAAAAGCTATACACAGTGAGAAAATAAACTGCAAGATTAAAGCATGCATGTTTAATACTGGGAAAAATCACAGCCCTCCAAAATTTCTCCACGTTTCTTATAAAAGCCCTCTGCACTCAACGAAAATTAAAATGATCTTAAAAGGATAATACTTGCAGAGTTTACTTAAGTCTTTTCAGCCACAGAAACTGCATTGGAAATAAATGTTCAGAGTAATTTTCAAAACAAAAACAAAAATCTATTCTTCTGATGTAATGCATGATTAAAGGTCTATGCAAGATACACTGCTCTACGTTCCCAAGGACTAGGGGAAAAAACCTTGTCAGTTTTTAGTTTGCAGATAATCAAAGGATTTTGTATTCCAGCAGTTCAAATCTGGATCTTTTCATCAACAACTACTGGATTTTCTTTTCTGATTTTCTCAGCAGCCATCAGTTTTGTAATTGTAAGAGCAGTTGTGTACATCTGAGTAATGGTGTACACCATAGTAAACATTTCCATGCTGGCGTTCAAACCCAGTAAGTCCCACTTTCTTCCTGCACATGAAACAAAGATTCTGTCTCTGTTTTGTTTTTTCAAGAGACTTGGCTTTGCTCTTCAGATGGCTGCTATGCCGTTTCTGATACTGAAGTTTGCAGGTCTTCTGTTTTCAGTCTTGCTTTGTCCAAAGATGTACTGTCCACTTGGGAAGACACTACAGATACTGATAAAAGTGACTGCTGTGATACAGGGCTTAGCTTCATAGATGAAGATGTAGAGTCTAGCACTGCCTGAGCTTCTGGGACACTGCCATCTGTGCTTTGGGCTGGTAAAGACTCAGACAGACTAGTGACAGAAGGAACAGGAGGGCTTATTCTACCATCACTATTCTGAACTGCCATTTGAAGATGTTCTTTATTGTGCACTGAATACATGCCATTCGTACCAGGGTTTCCATAAAATCTGCAGCCAGAAGAACAAAGCAGAGGCACTTGGCTGTGGTTAGTTTCTTAAGCCACGTTCCCCTGTTGCGCACCTGATGATGGCTCTCTCTGCCTGACCTGCTGCCACCGATAGCCACCGGTGAATGGGGACGGGGAGGCCGCCGAACCCTGCTCGCTCCGGGTGCACTGCCGCTGGCCCCTCCGCACTCCAGTGTTCTTGCCTGGAGAATTCCATGGACAGAGGAGACTGGTGGGCTCCAGTCCATAGGGTGGCTGAAGACATGACTTAGTGACTAAACAACAACAACAAAATTTGACTTCAAAACACCAATTCTCACGTCATCCCTGCAAGAGAAAACATTGTTTATTCCTATTTTCCTTGGGAATAATCCGGGTACCTAAGGTACCTGAGATGAATGGTTGAAATGAACCATAGGTAAAACATAACACTGCAGGACCTCTCTCGAGAGTACAGACTAAAATGAATCCAGTTAACATGCTGTCTATGTTTTACCCCTGCAGATCTCCTACCCTGTCAGAGTAACTGACAAGACGTCTATTCAGAACGCCAGAGAGACTGGAAATGTCGCTATTGACCCTGAAGACAAATGGCATCAAAGAGCCCAACAGCTAAAGGTCACTTGCTAGATTGAATTTTAAGTGTGTTTCAAGGGTTACTGCTGGATCTAAGTGATGGTCTGTGGCTGACATCTTATCACTTAAGGGTTTACTCTTATGCCTGAGAATAGTTACCCACCTTCTGATGGGTAAGACGACTTCTGCCCAGATGGGCCATTACTTGCTCAGCCAGGCAACCCTACCCACTTTCCCAAAGTTCTCTTTCCTAGAGGAAAATCATTATCTCACTCTGAAGACATTCAGAGGAATGGCCTGGAGACAATACAGGCAAGTCCAAAACACTGTCTGATCCTGTGCTGTTCCCAAGTCTGTTTCCCAGGGACTGCCCTGGCAATCTAGTGATTAAGACTCCATGCTTCCACTGAAGGGGGCCTGGGTTTGATCCCTAGTCAGGAAATAAGGTCCCACATGCCACACAGCATGGCAAGATAAAAAAAAACAAAAAAAAAGGTCTATTTCCTTTTGGAGTTATCAGTCACATAGTACCCCTATGTGATGGGGGGGGGGGCCACAGTCCTTAAAAATGGATGGGAAACCCCAGAGCCTCAATGAACCCTCATTAGCGTAACATGAAAGCCTATTACTTAGCAATTTAGCATGATGACATCCCTTTGGAGGCCATGGGTTTACTACTTTGAAATCACAATGTTGTTTCAGGGAAGATTTTCATGAAACTGTCCTCACTGTTTTTCTAGAAGAATCAAGAAAAGGTCTAGCAGCTGATTTCTTCTTGAACCAGTATATAGCGTTATGTGTAGTAGTGACTCTTGGATTTCCCTGGTAGCTGAGACAGTAAAGAAGCCACCTACAATGCAGGAGACCCCAGTTCGATCCCTGGGTTGGGAAGATCCCCTGGAGAAGGGAATGGCAACCCACTTCAGTACTCTTGCCTGGGAAACCTGATGGACAGAGGAGCCTGGCAGGCCACAGTCCATAGGGTTGCAAAAGAGTCAGACACGACTGAGCATCAAACACTTTCAGAAGAAGCCCTTTGAAATCACCCAGCCTACAGAGCCTGTTGACATCATTAGTTAGAACTATGTTCAATGGAAAAGCAATAATAGGAATAAAGTTCATTCCAGGGACTTCCCTGGTAATACAGTGGTTAAGACTCTGTGCTTTCAAATGCAGGGGACATGGGTTCAATCCCTGGTCAGGGAACTATGAGCCCACATGTTAGGTGATGCGGGGTGGGGGGGTGAGGGGGAGAAGAAAGCTCATTCCAGTTTCAGAAACATTAGAGAAGAGGGACAGCTCAAATCATCTTCCCCACCCCTCCACCACAGTGGCCTCCAGGCTACTTTCAGAGTTGCAGAAAAAGAAATGAAAAGGACCATCCCAGCTGCAAAATGCTATGAATCTAAGATCCTTTATCTCTAGTTAACTTAAATTACTATGGAAAACACACTGGAAGCATGTAAGATTCTCACAACCTCTAGTTTTCACACTTGTCACTATGAAAAATTGCAGGCATCTCAGCCAATGATAAAAGAATCAAGGTAAGATTGGGATGCTTGATGCATGGCATGACCCTAGGCAGAGACAACAAAAGGCTTTGTAAAGAAAAAAATCAGAAGAGAGCTGTTTCATCTCTGAGGGTCCTAGACTCACTTGGTTCTAACCCACTCCTTGAGTGAGGACGGTAAGAAGCAAAACATCTAAAGATTGTTGGACCTAGAAAGATGGCCACACAGAGCGGCCCAAGGATTGTTTCCCTTAATTCAGAAAGGATTTCCTAGCTGCCCGCTGCACCCAACATGCTGACTGGACACTCTGTACGAACCTCCAGGCTGCCTTCCTTATTTTTTTCCCTTTGGCCCCACAGCATATGGGATCTTAGTACCCTGACCAGGGACTGAACCCATGCCCCATGAATTGAAACCGCAGTGTCTTAACCACTGGACTGCCAGGAGGGTCCCCAGGATGTCTGTCTGTCTTCTCTTCAGTTACCCAGCTCCACTGCCTTTGCTCTGGTTCCCCTCCTGCCCCTCCTCTCCCACCGCATCCCGTCATGCCTATGGCCAGGACCACTCCTCCAGGGTTTACCCTGTTTGACCTTTGTCCCATTAGCTGCTGTCTGTGTTTCTTCTGTACCAGCTACGCTCTAAGTTCCTTGATAATTCGCATAATTTTGTATGAATTTTTCTCTCCACTTCCTAGGACACTGCTTTGCCCAAAGCTGATGCTCAATATTTAATGGTGTACTCAGTCACTCAGTCGTGTATCACTCTTTGCCATCCTGTGGACTGTAGCCCACCAGGCTCCCCTGTCCATGGGATATTCCAGGCAAGAATACTGGAGTGGGTTGCCATTTCCTTCTCCAGGGGATCTTCCTGACCCAGTGATCAAATCCACGTTGCTTGCGTCTCCTGCGTTGGCAGGTGGATTTCTTACCACTGCGCCACCCAGGAAACCCCAGTGGTGGATTAGAAAACCATTTATAGGTCATTTAGTGAATCTTAAGTGAAAATGGGCCTCATTTGAAATCTTTTTCTTAAAAGGTGACTATCAAAGAATCTACACATCCTTTAGTAAACATACTTTAACCATGAGTAACTATTACTAACATAGAGAGACCTCTATGTGAAATCAAAATAATTCAGACAATAAATAATTATTGAATACTTACTATGTTCCAACCACCAGCTTTTAGGTGCCTGGCCCCAAAGACATGGATTTTTAAAAACTCTTCAGAAAAAAAAATAGAAATAAAACTTAACAAAAGACCCTTTTAAAAATGATTCCTACCCTTAAGGAGCTCAAAACAGTTACAAAGTCATCAGAATGCAGTGATATGAAAGTTGGCATAAAATCCAGTATAATTAAAAGAGCACCTAATTCTGCCCTAAAAAGATGGGAAAAGCCTCTTGAAAAGACATGGCATCTAAGCTGACCCTGGAAGGATGAGTCAAAACATGCCAAGCAGACAAATGAGAGCAGAGGAATGAAAGTGGGGGGAAATCTAATCTGCCCTGAGAGTTTTACCTGGAGTTCAGTGACTAAAGGGGAAAGTATGAGGAGGGGACAGAGGTTGCGCAGGTTAGCTGGGGGCCAGGAAAGGCTTTCTATGTCAATTAAAAGATTTTTGGCAACTAAACACTTGTGCCACAAGTACTGAGTCTGTGCTCCTGAGCCTGGGAGCTGCAGCTACTGAAGCCTGAACTTCTAGAGCCTGTGCTTCTCAGCAAGAGAAGCCAGCACAATGAGAAGGCTGTGTACCTGTGCCACGAAAAGGGAGGAATGTATCCAACTCAATGCAAGTCTCAAATGATTCAGACCAACTAAGTGATGATGGGACCAGAAATAGTAGTTTAAATGACAGAATGTATATTTGTGTGTCTGTCTACACACAGAGAGTGAGTGATCTACAGAGAGAGAGAATGATGAAACTTGGCAAAATGTTAAAAAGTGAATCAGTGAGGCTATCTGGGAGTTCTCTGTGCTATTCTTACCACTTTTTCTGTAAGTTTGAAATAATGGTGTAAGTGTGAACAAATAAAAAGTTAAAGGAAGTGGTACCATAGGATTTAGCAACTAAGAGGTGACTGGTGGCCTGAGCAGAGCAGTTTCACTGGGGCAGTGAGAGGAAGGGTCCACCTGCAGTGTACAGGGGTCAGGATGAGAGCAGGGAAGATGAAGACCAACCTGCATTTTAAGATGCTTGGCTATGCATTACGAGATGAGATGTTTGGGGATTTTTTGTTTGCATTTTAGTTTTTACTGGAGTAGTTGCTTTTTTCTTAAAATAGTATAGATATGACTTTGCCAGCAAAGGTCCATATAGTCCAAGCTATGGTTTTTCCAGTAGTCATGTACGGATGTGAGAGCTGGACCATAAAGAAGGTTGAGTGCTGAAGAACTGATTCTTTTGAATTGTGGTGCTGGAGAAAACTCTTGCGAGTCCCTTGGACTGCAAGATCAAACCAGTCAATCCTAAAAGAATCAACCCTGAATATTCATTGGTAGGACTGATGCTGAAGCTCCAGTACTTTGGCCACCTGTTGCAAAGAGCTGACTCATTGGAAAAGACACTGATGCTGGGAAAGATGGAAGGCAAAAGGAGAAGAGGGCAGCAGAGGATGAAATGTTTAGGTAACATCACCAACTCAATGGGCATGAGTCTGAGCAAACTCCAGGAGATAGTGAAGGACAGGGAAGCCTGGCGTGCTACAGTCCATGGGGTCACAGAGTCGGACTTGACCTAGTGACTGACCAACAATAGTTACCATACAATGTTGGGTTAGTTTACACTGTACAGCAAAGTGAGTCAGCCATATGTATTCCTATATCCCCTTTTTGGGGGATTTCCTTCCCATTTAGGTCACCCCAGGGCATTGAGTAGAGTTCCCTGTGCTATACAGTAGGTTCTCAAAAAGAGTCATCTGTTTTATAGATAGTAGTATATATGTCAATCCCAACTTATCCCACCACCCCCACTGAAGAGATGAAGTTGAACCAGAGGATGAGATCAAGTAAGGAACTGTTCTTTCTTTCTCTTTTTAATAGAAGAGCTTTAAACATTTACTTGCTTGCTTCCCTGGTAGCTCAGATGGTAAAGAATCTCCCCACAATCCAGGAGACCTGGGTTTGATTCCTGGGTTGGGAAGATCCCCTGAAGAAGGGAATGGCAACCCACTCCAGTATTCTTGCCTGGAGAATTCCATGGACAGAGGAGCCTGGCAGGCTATATAGTCCGTGAGGTCACAGAGAGTTGGACACGGCTGAGTGACTAACACTTTCACTTTCACATGCTAGAAAGGATAAGAAACTAGAGACATAGGACCAGAAAAAAAAAGGTGATGTGCTGGAAACAAGGTCCCTAAGACCATTTAAGCCTGTGTATTTGCACCTTAAAAAGACCAAGAACTGATAGTCATTCTCATTATTTTCTGTGTAAGTGCCTTATCCATGCTGGAGATCTTCATTTCGAGTAATCCATCATCCTTTACCTGTCCATGAGGTCCTATTGTCCTGAATCGTTTTGTGCTCTCCTGTGAATCCTTTCCAGATCCCATTTCTGTTGTGTACTCAGAAGTGTACAGAGTACTTAGCTAAGAGTCGGAGCCCAGGGGGCCAGTGTAAGAGGGCACACTTCCACCTGCAGAAGATCCTTTCCAGGAGAGAAGCATGTGATCAAAAGGAAAAGACAAATGTTCCCCAGTTAAGGAAGGCTTCAAAAGGATGAAATAGGATGTTTTCCTTCTTATCTCTAAAATAGAATAACGCTTGCCTCTTAGAAAAGAAATGATAGTGTGAAAGATATGAAGCATCTTTGACTTATCAACGTCAAAGTTCTCGTAACCCCATCCTAAATTATCTTTCCACCTTTCCCAAAGAGCTATTCACTGGATTTTGCCTCCAATGCTTTCAACAGAACTATGATTCATTTATCCAACCAAACACAGAAAATTAGAGCCAGTTAATGTCTCCTCTAAATTTTATTAATATTATTGGATGGAACGTATAACCCGGACTCAAAGAATGTGTGTTTTGTTGTTAAGAAACACAGCACAATGGAGAACAGATGTAGAGAATGGGCCTGTGGACACAGTGGGGGAAGGAGAGGGTAGAACAAATTGAGAAAGTAGCATTGACATTTACAGACTACCCTGTGCAAAACAGATAGCTAGTGGAAAGCTACTGTAGAACACAGGGAGCCCAGCCTGGTGCTCTGCGACGGCCTAGAGGGGCAGGAGGAGGGGTGGGGTGGGAGGAGACACACATGCACACAGTTACGACTGAGCTGCGATGTGGTACAGCAGAAACCAGCACAGCACTGTAAAGCAATTATCCTCCAACTAAAAATTTAAAAATAAAAAACACAACACACACTTTGGAGCTAATCTTGGAGTCCAGGCACAACCCTCAGGACTCTAGATCAGGGTGGTTGAGAACAAGCATGGCTTTTGTTTTAAAGCAGATGAACATTTCGCTTTTTTCTGAGAGCAAAGTGTGCATTCTCCCCTTTGCTTATGTCGTGTAAACAGGAAAGTCATGAAAGAGACAGTCAGCTGCTGCCTTTCTCAGGGTTGGGGGCAAACTTCCCTTGGCTGGCACAATACGGAGGAGCATTAATAACTGAGTACAGATCTTACCAAGAAACTATCGTCCTAGCATTAGGCATCAGGAGAGTCTGGTGCTGACACCCCGGCCACAGGACTCTGCTCTGAGTGTGCTGGAAAAACCTACGGCCATTAAGCAGTTATTCTGAGTGCGTGTAGTCTGGACTGACTGTGAGTGTTGGTAACAAAAGAATTCCAGGGAGAGGGGGATGCAATAGAGGATTTCAGTGCTGATGGAGATTAAATAGCCTGAGAATGGCTTTGTATATTAACTTCAGAGAACTCAGGTCTTGCCCTAAAGAGTGACACCTGATGCCTCAATTGTAGGTAATACATCTTTAGTAAACCACAGATCTCAAGTAGGCTGCTCAGAAGGTGAGACAAATCACATCCAGCCCATAAATGTCTTTCTTTCCGGAGACTGAAATGCCATCCCTGGGCACTCACATTTACGTGAATAGCAGATTTAACACTTGAGACAATTGAATTTTCTCACGAAATGATGAGTCCTTGGCCTTGTTGACAAAGCACCCTGTGAAGAGCACTATTGTCTGAATTGTCAACAGAAAAGGTATAACATGATTAAGACCCAGTGGTAAGCCAAGATTTCAGGGCTGGTACTCATTGGTGGAATGACTTCAGGTCATTTCTCATTGGTGGAAATGAGAGAGAGAACTGGAGCAAGTACAGTCAGATGGCAGCAGAAAAAGAACTCCTGGTCACTCATTTTTCCAGCAGTTAAAAAAGCTGAACATACATGAATGGACCTAGAGATTAGCATACTAAGTGAAGTAAGTCAGGAAGACAGATACCATTAGATACCACTCACATGTGGAATTTAAAATATGTCACAAATGAATTTATCTATGAAACAGAAACAGACTCACAAACATAGAGAATATGTTGTGGTTGCCAAGACGGAGGAGGAGTGAAGGAGGAATGGATTGGGAATTTGGGATTCGCAGATGCAAACTATTACATATAGAATGGATAAACAGCAAGGTCTTACACTATATAGTACAGGTAACTATATTCTTGTGATAAACCAAAATGGAAAAGGATATTTAAAAGAACGTATATATGTATATGTATATATGTACACATATATAACATATATATGTATATTTCGCTATACAGCAGAAATTGACACAACATTAAAAGTCAACAAAAAAGGCTGAACAAATATTGAAAAGAATAACACCAGCATCAGTAAATATCTATAGATCATAGCAAAAGTGGATTCTTTTTTTACCTTCAAGAACAGCGATGACAGCCATAAAGAGCCACTGTGTTTCATGAACACACCTGTAAGAGTGTAAAATAATTTTCTTCTGGATGCATTACAAGCAAGGATGTTCTTAAGGCTGTGTATTGGCAGAGCCTTCTTGCCCACATTTTGTCCATGCAGCTCAGTATACTACATGGAAGGAAGGACCCTTTCAATTGAAATACAGAGAAGGAAGTTTCTCTTTTTTGGATACCACAGGTAAAAACTTCAAGGAGCTAAGCAGAACCTGGCCAATTTCCAGAAAGTTCAAAGTCTAAGGAGAACTTACTCTAAATTTCAAATTATAAGTCATTCTTCCATGAAAATCTGATATAAGAAGTAACACTGTATATTACTATTTTAAATTAAATAATCTCAACCTTATTATAATGAGATACCATGAGAAACAGAATGGCACTAAATAATATAATACAAGAGTAGTATTATACAGTAGTAGTATATTATACAGGAGTCTTGGCAATTATATCAGAAAAGTGAAATATCCCTAAAACAAACAATTTGAGCAAAAACATGATTTATTCATTTCAAGGTGTTTTTTTTTCCTTGAACGATCTGTGTAACTTGAGCTTTTTTGATTAACCTTGCATAGATACAGGCCACAGAGGCTTTTTATATGTGGGTTCAGATAGGAAGAAATACGTTGCAGTTACACAGCACACAGAGGCATATGGTCCTCTGACTGTTTTCAGTAAGCATATAATCATTCTTTCCAAAGGCCTCTTAACTCAGCTAGTTTTTCACAAAGTAATGAGTGCTTTATTCCTTGGGAAATATGCCTAAATGGCTTAGTGCAATATAGTTACATAGTGTATCTATTATACCAGGAGTACATTGTGTTGTTACAAGACTTTGGAAAGCATAAAGACTGCTCTGAAATTGAAATATTTCCCCCAGATGTTTGATTGCCTAAGTACAGGCTATATTAAGGAACAGAAGCAAAACAACCCTTGTGGTTTCACAGATGTCCCATCACCATGCAGACTCTTTTATAATCCTCTGAATAAAATCTAATTTGTTTCATCTGGTGAAGAGGTCATTTCTGGCTTCTGACCTATATGACTAAGATCTGATAATGTGAATTGTATTTCATACTAAACTTATATTTGGTGGGTAAAGCAAATCGTTGATTTCTCTCTGGTTAAGATTTTTAATATTTATCTTAGTTAAGACAAATGTGCATATTTTGATGCTGATTTGCACTTCCTCTGTATGCAGCTCTTTAGGGAAAAAGCTGCTTTCTCCCCCTATGTGGTACTATTTCATTTTACAACATTTTAAGTCAAAGACTTGCCCTTAATATAATGCCCCTTCTAAGCTATTTTTTTTCTAGAAAATTCATAATCTGAAATTGCCAAGAGGAAGCACTCAGCTACTCACCCTCTCATTGCCTGAAATGAGGAAAGCCCCCAGTGTTCTCTTTATCTCCTTTCAATCCCATGATCACCTTCCTAGATGTCTCAAAACTCCAGTTTGAGGAACACTAAAATTTTTGTCTTTTAACTTTACGTTAAATTCAGTCTTCTAACTTTACATTAACAAAAAATATCTTTTTAGGATTACCAGGAACAGTGGTCTCAATACGAAAATGCAAAGTCAAGCAATGGACCCAGAGATCAGTCTTCGGAAACAACCAATGGCCAGCAACCTTCCAGAAGACCAGCCAAGCACAAGATTCGAAAACAGCGCAAATACCGGCAGGGCCCAAAGTCTTCAGTGACCGAAGAGATGGTTGTCAGTCAAGGAAACCAGAATAACACTCCCAGACATCAGCAAAACCCAAATAAGCCTACTGATACTGAAGTAACACAGGAAACAGGTGTGATTATGAATGCCACGAACGATGATTTACAATACTCAAGTGTACTGAGAAGCCAGGATCCCAAAGTAACCCCCAATCAATCTGCCGCACCACACCAGGTTTCGGACAAAGTATTATATAAAAATGCTGCCGGATATTACCCGGTGATGAACACTAATAGAGAAAGAGGACACAATGACCAAGAAGAGAAAAGGTTTTCCTACCAGCAGCTACATATCGACAATCTATCCAATATGCACTTGAAGTACCTTCATGAACTTACCAAGAAACACGCATCCCATAGCCAGAAAGGCTCTCAGTCTAACATAAACATTCAAGCATCAACCAAGAAGAAGCAGCAACCCAAACTGGCTTACACAGAAACAAAGTATAAGAACTTAGAGATATTATGGTAAGAATTCCCTGTTCTTAGGTGGTTTTCTGGAGAAATGAGAGGCTAGAAGAGGGAGGATGGAATGGAGGACAGAGAGGTGGGTTCATAACAGTGGTCAGGCAAGAGGAGAAATTCACCTTAACAGCATCCTTGGCTCTGGCCTTCAACCTAAAACAGTCCACGTTTTATGTACTTCTTTTCTTCTTCCCTGTCTCTAGCTTTTCCACTGTAGTTAAACCAGAGACTAGATGGGGAGAAGGACAGAGGGACCCTGTCAAAAAAGATACAGTAAAAAAAAAAAAAAAAAAAGATACAGTATATCTTGATAATTGCAAGTAATATTTGAAGGAAACAAATTATCTCCAGCCCTGTAATGGTCAATCCAAAGAAAATAAAATGCAGAAAAAATTATGTATGTGCAAAAATATCACCATTTACAGCAATGACAATAATTGGATAAAGAAATGTTTAAGTAAATTATAATATTAAATATCATGGAATCATTTAAATGGGCTTCCTTAATAGCTCAGGCTGTAAAGATTTCACCTTCATTATCCTCTGGAGACGTGAATCCCCGCTCCAGTATTCTTGCCTGGGGAATCCCATGAACAGAAGAGCCTGGCGGGCTACAGTGCATGGGGTCACCAAGAGTCAGATATGACTTAGCGACTGAACAACAATACGTCCTTTAAAACTATGCTTCTATAGGGAGAAAATGTTGTTGTTGTTTAGCTGCTAAGTCGTGTCTGACTCTTGGCGACCCCATGGACTGTAAGCCCCCCAGGCTCCTTTGTTCATGGCATTCCCCAGGCAAGAATACCGGAGTGGGTAGCCATTTCCTCTTCCAGGGCACCTTCCCCACTCAGGGATCAAACCCTCATCTCCTGCATTGGCAGGTGGATTCTTTACCACTGAGTCACCTGGGAAGTCCTTATAGAGAGAAAATAGTGAGGTATAAAACTTTACCTAAAAGAGGATGAGCTTCACACCTGCTGTGTGTTAAAATGTACACCGAAGATGGAAAATGCACCAAAACATCAATAGTGTTTATCTCTGGCAAAAGAGTTTGGGATTATTTTTAATTTCTTCTTTATATATTCTGAGCTGTCCAAATTCCCTACAATGTATATGCATTACTTTTATAATTAGAAAAATGAAAAGTTATTTTTAAAATTAAGGGGTATTTCTTGATGTCATTCAATCAAATGTGTTTATTACATGCCTGATACAACTCAATATAAGACTAAAATGTTATAGAAGATACAAAAGTAGTATGATGCAAGGGAACACTCAAGGAGCTTATTTTTAAAGTAGAGAGACAATTTTAATATATATGAATTAATCAGAAGACATTTCAATGCTCCACTTGGAGGTGTGGAATGTACATTTAGCAAGATTTAGAATTCACTTCCTAGAAGAGATAGTGATAGATAGATAGCAGGCATTTTTGTCTTTTTCCCCCTGACTTTAGAGGGAGTGCTTCTAACATTTTACCATTAAAAATATTTAATTTTTAGTACTTAGGGAGATATAGAGGAAACATCCTCCTATTTCTATTTTTTCCAAAGATCTATCATAAAGAGATGCTTAATGTTAACTAATACTTTTTCTGCATCAACTGAAAATTTTTCTCCTTTAATTATTTAATGTGGCTAAATGTAGTAACAGATTTTCTAATATTCCACCAACCTTTTACTCCTAGGACAATCCCAACTTGTCATACTATTTTTAATAAACTGCTCAATTTGATTTGTTAATGCTATTTAGGATTTAACATTCACATGCAGGAAGTGAGACTGGCTTAAAATTCTCCATTCTATCACTGGCCTTGTCTGGATGTGTTGTCAATTATACTAAGATTATACCAGCCTTAGAATAATTCCCTCATTTCACATCCTCTGGGATATACAATTGGAACTGTTACTTGAAAGCTTCATAGAACTTTTCAGTAAATCTGTTTAGTTCACATGTGTTTTTTTGTTTGGCCTTTCTTTTGTTGCTGTTTGTGGGCAGATTTTAAACTTTAAACTACTTACATTTTTTGGGATACTCATATTGAGTTAATTTCTACTATCTTAATTTATCCTAACCACCCTACTTTTTTCTAATATCACCTTTTTTAAAAAGTATTATCTTTTGAACTTTGTTACCTTTCCCCTCTACTGATTTGGAAATGCATATTTTCTATTCTCTTTTTTTAAACTTACATACTTAACTAGTCTAGTGTTAAATTAATATTCCTGTTGTCCTGCAGACATACTCAAAATCATTGGATTGTTCTGATCCAGTCACCCTTTGTGTCATACATATTCTTTTCATTCAGCATCTTATATCTCCTAATTGCTGTTTTATTATTGCTGGATAGAGTCCATGCTGTTTTAGATTTAACCGATTGTTTATTAATGTCTTTGCTTCCCATCTTTCTTCCATTTCACTCTTCCTTCCTCAAGTAGATCCCTTAGAAGTTCTTTCAGCAAATACATTTCACTGGTAAACTTACCTGAAATTCCTTTACTTTATTCTCTTAAATTACTGTTTAACTTGGTAAAGAATTAAACCTTGAAAACAGTGTCTTTCTATTTCCTGGCTTCTGTATTTCTTTGAAAAGACTTTTACCAATGTAATTATCATTCTTTTTGTCTTTTATTCTCTTGTTGGTTTTGAGGCCTCTCCTTTGTTTTTTGTGTTTTCAAGCTTCACTATGACATATTTAGTTTAAGATTTATAATCTTGCTTATGACTTTTCTGGGCTTCCTAAATCTGAAGGTTCATTTTTTTTCATAAATTCTGGAAAACCATCACCCATTTTCCCTTTGAATACTATATCTCCCAAATTTGCTCTATTTTCCCTTCAGGAACACACAATAGATACATTTTTGATCCTCTTATTCTAGACTCCATGTCTTTTTAACTGTTTCTTATTTCCCATCTCACATCTCTCTGTGCTTCTTTCTGAGAAATTTCCTGTTTATAAATCTCTGGCTATGTCCAATATGGTCTTTAATGTGCCCACTGAGTTGTAAATTTCAGTGATGATGCTTTTCGTGTCTAGAATTTCTGCATGGTTCTGATTAAAATCTTCCTGTTCCTTTTTCAGAATATATTTCTTAGAGTTTTTATTTCATATTTCATGTCTTTAATCATACATATGCTTGCTTATAAATGCTTTCTAATATTCAGTTATCCTAAATTCTTAGAAATCTACTACTGCTTTGTGTGTGAGTGTGCATGTGTATCTGGACTCTTCTTATTTGGTAGGTTATTTCCTTACATGTTCTAAAATTTTGGATTGTGGTGCTCGCTTCGGCAGCACATATACTAAAATTGGAACGATACAGAGAAGATTAGCATGGCCCCTGTGCAAGGATGACACGCAAATTCGTGAAGCATTCCATATTTTTTTGAGGAGTATGCTCGAGAAAAAAAAAAAATTTTGGATTGTGAACTTATGTGTAGCCATCTTATCTGTAGACACCTAAGCAGTTTTGGGTGGGGATGTATCCTTCCAGAGAACTTTTATTTCATACTCTTTTCCACTGTAATTTATTACAGGATACTGAATATAGTTACCTATGATATATAATGTTTTTCATCCATTCTATATACAATAGTTTGGGCCTTCCCTGGTGGCTTAGATGGTAAAGAACCTGCCTGGAATATGGGAGACCCGGGTTGAATCCCTAAGTTGGGAAGATCCCCCGGAGAAGGAAATGGCAACCCTCTAATTCTTGCTGGAGAATGCTATGGACAGAGGAGTCTGGCAGGTTCATGGGGTTACAAAGAGTCAGACATGACTGAGTGCAACTAACACATACAATAGTTGCATCTGCTAGTCCCAAACTCCCAATCCAACCCTCCCCCCACCCTTGGCAACCACAAGTCTGTTCTCTATGTCTGTGAGCCTGTTCCTGTTTCATAGATAAGTTCATTTGTGTTATATTTTAGATTCCACATGTTAACTGATATGGTATTTGTCTATCTCTTTCTGACTTACTTCATTTAGTATGATAATCTCCAGGTCCATCCTTGTAGCTGCAAATGGCATTATTTCATTCTTCTTTATGGCAGAGTAATATTCCATTGTGTTTATATACCACATCTTCTTTATCCGTTCATCTGTTGATGAACATTTAGGTTGTTTCCATGTCTTGGCTACTGTAAATACTGCTTCTATTAACATAGGGATGCACAGTATTTTTTCAAATTATACTTTTGTCTGGAGATATGCCCAGGAGTGGGATTGCTGTGTCATATGGCAACTTTATATTCAGTTTTCTGAGTAATCTCTGTACTGTTCTCCATAGTGGCTGTACCAATTTACATTCCCACCAACAATGTAGGAGGCTTCCCTTTTCTCCACACTCTCTCCAGCATTTCTTATTTGCAGACTTTTTAATGATGGCCTTTCTGACTGACGTAAGGTAGTAGCTCGTTGTCCTTTTGATTTGCATTCTTCCAGAGAACTTTTGTATCTGCTTCTGCCACCTACAGAGGTATCCTTCCTCCAGCATCATTTTTATGTTAATTTCTTGGTGTTGGAGTTCCATGATTATGTAGGTAAGGTAAATTTGAACCCCAAATATTGCCCCAAATTCCTAGGGAATTTTTTTTTTCCTAGTTCAGAGCCTAGACAAAGATAGTCTTGCTCTGTTGTTTCTCAAGGCTGGTGAATGAGTTTTTTTTACTAATCTGCCTTTTTATTGAGGCTGTATCTCTTCAGAGTTTCCCTGGTGGCTCAGATAGTAAAGAATCTGCCTGCAATGCAGGAGACCTGGGTTCGATCCTTTGGTCGGGATGATCCCCTGGAGAAGGGGATCTTCAAGGGTGAGAGTCTTAGTGTAGGTATCTCACTTCTGATTCCCTCTCCCACACAAGGCCAAGGTCTGACATATCTAATAACAGTGATAAATGGTAAAATGTAAGCACTTAGGTTCAAAATTCCCTAAAAGAAAGCTATAGCTTCAGCTCATCCAAAATCTGCTTTAGTTTTAGTTCCTCTTTAGTTTGTGGTCTTTGAAGATTCCCCATCTTTCTTACAAATTCAGTTGTATAATTAAAAGGATGTTTAATTTAATCCACCATATCCAGGCATTTTGTGGTGGAAAGGCCTTTGATTTTTCAGAATGATGTTTTTTCTATTCTGAATGCAGTAAATGAAAGTTCTGAGTAAGAGCTAGAATATCCTAAAGAAAAAATAGGGGGATATTATGAATAATAATATAATTATGAAAAGATTAAAGGGCATTAATTTGTTTGTCATGCATGATAAGTCACTTCAGACAAGTCTGACTCTTTGCAACACCATGGACTATAGCCCGCCAGGCTCCTCTGTCCATGGGATTCTCCAGGCAAGAATACTAGAGTGGGTTGTCATTTCCTCCTCCAGGGGATCTTCCCAATCCAAGGATGGAAACTGCATCTCTTATGTCTCCTGCATTGGTGGTGGGTTCTTTGGGAGTGGTAAATACAGTAAATCAATGGTTCATAAAGACTTTTATGCTAAGTCTTATGTATCTACATTTTAACAGATTTGTGCTTTTTTTATTTTTCCTTTAAGGAAATTCCATTCTTCCTCTGAGGAACAACCTGCTAAGGCTTCCCCAGATTCCCGACTCTCCCAGATAATGGAGCAGCATCAGCAAGCCCTGCTGCAGCTGACAGAGGTGCAGCCACACGAAGGGGCCTCACCTGGCCTCACCCTTCCACCCATACTGTCAAGGGTGGAGAGTGAGTCCCAACTCAGTTCAGAGAGAAGCCAAAGAAACCAAGTGAAAATCAGCCGCAGCAATTCTGAAAGCTATCTGTTTCAACTGGAAAAGGGGAAAAAGCATAGGAAAAGAAGCAGCATTAAGGTAATAACAGCATCTTACTTAACCTTCCATTTTGATAATACACATGGTCCTTGATTTTCATTCCCCTTATCATAGGCCTGGAATAGGGATGCTCCTCTTCCTCTTCTTCCTGCCCCCATCCCCTAAGAACTCTTCCTTGACTCTCATCTCAACCTCAGCTCCTGCATTAAAACACCCAGGACAGCCAACGACTGCACTTTTCTTCTGAAATATTTGCTTTACTGAGTTCTGTGTTTACTATAACTCGATACCATACTATAAGATTCACCATGGGGTTGGGGGGTGGTGAGAGGGAGGTTCAAGAGGGAGGGGACATATGTATACCTTTGGCTGATTCATGTTGATGTATGGCAGAAACCAGTATAACACTGTAAAGCAATTATCCTCCAAGGAAAATATTTTTAAAACAACAACAAAAAGATTCACCATCATTAGCACCTTTGTGCACTGAAGTCTTTCCCATCAGGTCTGCTTTACTAAATAAAGGAAATGGGGGTGGGAGGCAAAAAAGGAAGGTTTCCAGGAAGAAATGAAGGAGTCTTTTTATGTCCTTTGTGTTTCTCCACTGTTTCAAACAATAAAAACTCAGGAGACACCACTTGTTTCTAGTGTCCAATAGTAAGGGAAAAGCTGGAAAATGCTTTAAGGGACAACAGGGAAAGACTTGGTTGGAAGCAATAGGCCTGTAGTGGATAGGCCCTCCCAGGAACAGACTCTGAAATGTTGATTTGTGAGCTGGAGCCCTCCTCCAGAACCACCCCTGGAAGGGAGGGAGCAGGCAGGGCCAGGTGAGGGAGAGGCAGCAGCTTTGAGGCTCAAAGCGGAGGCTTCAGCCAAGCCCACGAGGGTTCTGAAGTTGGGATGGCTCTTCAGAGGCAAGGCACCAGCTGTTCCCTGACACGGATCAGCCACTGGTTGTTGCCTGTCTGTGAGGAAGGGTAGTAACTTTGGGCACGGCTACTTTGGGCTACGACTTTGTTACTTTGGTAGTAACTTGGGGCTACTCCACCTGGGTGAGGGCAGTTCTCAGGGAGGGACTCGACTGTGAGCAACAGAAAACGACACTCAGCAGCTGGGGGCACAAGAGTCTGGGTCCAGGGGAGCGTCCACTCTCAGGCAGATTTAGGGAGCCATCCTCAGTTCAACTCAACACACATGTGTTGAATTCCTTCCGGGCACTGGTGTCAGGTGCTGGGGGATGTATAGTGAACGAGCAGCAGGAGTGGACAATTGCCTGGAACTGGGGAAGGCATGCGGGCATGTGGCTTCAGTATCATATTGAAATAAAAAAGAGATGCGGGGTGAACACAGAGGAGCACAGAGGGGGCACACATCCCCACCTGGGGGTCAAGCAGAGTTTCAGGGGTGATTGTGAGGTGTCTGAGAGGACGTTCGCGAACTAACAGAAGAAGAAAGACTGAAGGCACTTCAAGCAGAGGGACCAGCGGGAGCAAATGTTCTGAAGTGTTTGAGGATACAAAGCATGCTGGGAACTGAAGCATCTCAAGGTTGCTGTCACTCAAACTGGGGCTTCCCTGGTGGCTCAGACGGTAAAGAAGAGGGCATGGCAACTCGCTCCAGAATTGTTGCCTGGAGAATCCCATGGACAGAGGAGCCTGGCAGGCTACAGTCTGGGGTTGCAAAGAGTCGGACACAGCTGAGCAACTAAGCACAGCACAGTAAAACTGGGAGGCCTGAGTGTTGAGAGATGACAGTAGAGAAGTAGGTCAGGGAGTTGGGGGGAGGGGGTTGGGTAGGTCTGCCAGTATCTTGCTTGTCATTGGTGGAAGGAGGGCTCTAATCTCTAGGCTGGAGGGTAGAGGTGCAGGTTGGCAGGAGGCACTGAAGAATTTTAACCACAATTAGCTTAGTTTTTTTATTTTTGTGGGATTAACATTGACCTTTATTTTCCGTTCGTAATTCTTCATATTTTCTGAATTTTTTTTTTTTTTTTGAAACTGAGCATGCATTACTTTTACAACCAGAAGTTTAAAAAAACAACTGAAAAGAGGAGATGATACACAAAGGGCTAGGGTAAAAAATTGGGATATAGTCACAAGACATCAAAAGATACGAATGAAAAGTTTCATGTTAAAGACATTCAAATAAGGTGACAGTTTTTCATTAGAATGGTTTGCACCCTTAGCATTTCTTGAGTTCAGAGGGAAGAAATACTTTTCAATGAAAATAAAGGTCTCTGTAAAAACCAGGCTTTCATTTATTCTTTCTCTATGCTTACGTTTTCCTGTCCTCCATTTGTTATTAACCAGTTACATTTCCCGAGTAACTATTCTATTACTAGTCCTGCTTCAGATACTTTATCAGATTCAATATCAGGAACAGGGATAATATGCTTTACAGTTAAATATGAGGAATTTCAGTCATGGGTGGTTAATTGAGGGCTTTATTTCTCTTCTGTTTTACTGTGCTTTTGATCATTTTTTTATTGCTCATTAGTCTATTTTCTGGTGTGTGGATAAGTGAAAAGATACAGACGCAAAATTAAGTGTCAGTTCAGTCACATACTGATCAAATGAGGGTCTTGCAAAGAAATTACAGTGAGTCCCCTGACACATTAGCTGCTCATTTTTGGCCAGAATGTATATGTGTTCATCAGATGATTTATGGATTAATAGAGTTAATGGTTTAAATGTCTCTTTCCCCTTAGTCAGCAGTTTACATGGAAACACTAAAGCATGTGATGACAGAACTGAAGGTGGTCTTCTGGTTAGCAGTCATCAAATTTAGAACCTTATTCTTAGCCTCTGTAGGAGAGAGCTAGATCCTACTAACATTCCTTTTTATTTTTTTTTATTTTCATTGGAGGCTAATTACTTTACAATATTGTGGTTGTTTTTGCCATACATTCACATGAATCAGCCATGGGTGTACATGTGTTCCCCATCCTGAACCCCACTCCCACCTCCCTCCCCACCCCATCCCTCAGGGTCAGCCCAGTGCACCAGCCCTGAGCACCCTGTCTCATGCATCAAACCTGGACTGGTGATCTACTTCACATATGATAATATACATGTTTCAATGCTATTCTCTCAAATCATCCCACCCTTGCCTTCTCCCAGAGTCCAAAAGTCTGTTCTTTACATCTGTGTCTCTTTTGCTGTCTCACATATAGGGTCATCATTACCATCTTTCTAAATTCCATATATATGTGTTAATATACTGTATTGGTGTTTTTCTTTCTGACCTACTTCACTCTGTATAATAGGAGCCAGTTTCATCCACCTCATTAGAACTGATTCAAATGCATTCTTTTTAATAGCTGAGTAATATTCCATTGCATATATGTACCACAGCTTTCTTATCCATTCGTCTGCCGGTGGACATCTAGGTTGCTTCCATGTCCTGGCTATCGTAAACAGTGCTGCGATGAACATTGGGGTACATGTATCTCTTTCAGTTCTGGTTTCCTCGGTGTGTATGCCCAGGAGTGGGATCGCTGAGTCGTATGGCAGTTACATTCCCAGTTTTTAAAGGAATCTCCACACTGTTCTCCCTAGTGGCTGTACTAGTTTGCATTCCCACCAACAGTGTAAGAGGGTTCCTTTTTCTCTGCACCCTCTCCAGCATTTATTGTTTGTAGACTTTTTGATGGCAGCCATTCTGACTGGCATGAGATGGTATCTCATTGAGGTTTTGATTTGCATTTCTCTGATAATGAGTGATGTTGAGCATCTTTTCATGTGTTTGTTAGCCATCTGCATGTCTTCTTTGGAGAAATGTCTGTTTAGTTTTTTGGCCCATTTTTTGATTGGGTAGCTTATTTTTCTGGAATTGAGCTGCAGGAGTTGCTCATATATTTCTGAGATTAATTCTTTGTCAGTTGCTTCATATACTATTATTTTCTCCCATTCTGAAGGCTGTCTTTTCACCTTGCTTAGAGTGTCCTTCGTTGTGCAAAAGCTTCTAAGTTTAATTAGGTCCCATTTGTTTATTTTTGCTTTTATTTACATTACTCTGGGAGGAGGGTCATAGAGGATCCTGCTATGATTTACATAAGAGAGTGTTTTGCCTATGTTTTCCTCTAGGAGTTTTATAGTTTCTGGTCTTGCATTTATATCTTTAATCCATTTTGAGTTTATTTTTGTGTATGGTGTTAGAAGGTGTTCTAGTTTCATTCTTTTACAAGTGGTTGACCAGTTTTCCCAGCACCACTTGTTAAAGAGATTGTCTTTTCTCCATTGTATATTCTTGCCTCCTCTGTCCAAGATAAGGGGTCTATAGGTGCATGGATTTATCTCTGGGCTTTCTATTCTGTTCCATTGGTCTATATTTCTGTCTTTGTGCCAGTACCATACTGTCTTGATAACTGTAGCTTTGTAGTATAGCCTGAAGTCATGCAGGTTGATTCCTCCAGTTCCATTCTTCTTTCTCAAGATTACTTTGGCTATTCAAGGTTTTTGTATTTCTATGCAAATTGTGAAATTATTTGTTCTAGTTCTCTAAAAAATACTGTTGGTAGCTTGATAGGGAGTGCATCAAATCTATAGATTGCTTTGGGTTCTATACTCATTTTCACTACATTGAGTCTTCTGATCCATGAACAGGGTATATTTCTCTTATCTATTTGTGTCATCTTTGATTTCTTTCATCAGTGTTTTATAGTTTTCTATATATAGGTCTTTTGTTTCTTTAGGTAGCTTTATTCCTAAGTATTTTATTCTTTTCGTTGCAATGGTAAATGGAACTATTTCATTAATTTCTCTTTTTGTTTTCTCATTGTTAGTGTATAGGAATGCAAGGGATTTCTGCATGTTAATTTTATGTCCTGCAACTTTACTATATTCAGCTTAGTCTTTTTAGAAAGACTGTTCTGGCTATGTAGTGCAGAGCAGGTAGATGCAGAGCACAGCAGGAATAGGGGGTCATGAGCTAAAAGCTCATGTGAGAACCTCAGAAAGAAAGGAAAGGGTGGCCTTAAAGAGAACAAGGGAAAGTGGACTAGAACAACAGTTCTATATTACAGAGGAGGAAAGGAGGAC